ATATTATAGACTACACTAACGTGACGTTTAGGCGGTTCGCTGAAATACTATACGTGTTGATATAAAAAAAGGCTGGGGATCTATTTTACAACAAGCTAAAGCTTTTAAACAATACACAGAAATATTAAAAGTAACCATGCATCAGGGTCTAAAGAAAGGCTAGTGTTCAATACCGTACTCCCAATTACCCACCTAATAATACTTGGTATTCTAAAAAGGATGAAATTGTATATATCTAAGACCACCTTCATAAGTAATTTACACTACACAGTTGTTTTTTATCATGTTTAAAAGGATTTGCAGAAAAATAATTATGCAATAATATGGAAACTGAGAAATTAGTCCAACAAATTATTCTATCAGTTACACCAAACTTGCATGACAGGGGAAATAGAAAGCCTTTAGATACATAGTATTTTCAGAAGTCTGAAATACTGCTACATATTTACATATGCAGTGTAAATTGTCACAATAACATAATTTTCACAAATTAAAGGTATTGTAAAAGTTTATTTATTTATTTACAATATTTTGACAGTGATTTGGTATTGAATTCATATTTACAAAGAAGGAAACAGTTTTAACATAATGCAAGTAAAACATTAAAAAATTAATAAGCAAAGCAACTGCCACTTAATACTGTTTTTAGTGGTGCTACTTATTCCAAATTTATATTTTTAATACATACCTTTCTACAGCAGCAGCATTTTCAGTCTTCATGAAAAGACTATACTACAAAATTATTTTGTTCAGAGATACAATAGATGCAATAAAAGTGCACGTGAGGACTTTACTTTTTCATTATACCAATTCTTGGATATCAGCCTCGACCCAGCTCTTAAACTGTGTTCCATAGTTGAAAGAAAATTTTCCTATTCAAACTAAACCTCATTTCCAAAACATACTTACCTCCTCTGACACTTGTAGCTAGTACTCGACTGCTAGGGTTTCTTATTTGCTCATTTAAGCATTGGTCTGATTTTTTCTACTTACTTACTTACTTAAAACTTGACAGGTATTTTGGTTTAAAATATAACAAACCCCAAAAGGGCTTGAGAAACAACCAGAGGTACTCAGAAACAGTTGTTCCTTTTCACCCCACACGTGAAATTTTGGTTTAAATTTTACTTAAGTGTTAGTTGTTAGAGACTTTAAGTGGCTTAAGTAAGTTTAACTGACAGAATGTGAGCGATGTTAGTAAGTGATTTAAGAATTAACAAACTAGGCTTTATGTGAAGAGAGGATGACTAATGACGAGCCTCATTGTCGCATGCTGAAGGCAGGAAACCACACAACAGGAAAAAGAGTTTGCTAAGCTGGTTTTGCTGAAACAGCAAATACTGGTTTTTCTTGAACAGCGAAAAATACCAAGGCTGTGAGAAAAGTGGTAAGTTTCTGAAAATAGTCGCTATGGACAAATGGTATGAAAACATATGTTATAATTGAATAAATAAGTGGATTGTAGAGTTAAAGCGATATAATTAAAAATTACATGAAACAGGATGAATATCCAGGATATTGTTAAAATTTAACTGTAACTATGTTTACTATGCATAATTCCACCTTTTCAAGGTTGGGATCATAGGGTCCTAAATTCAAGGAAAAATTTTGTTGTGGGGGAACGGCTGTACCCAGAGAAAACCCACTTTCGTGGCCAGGACACCAAATAACTGCTCTGACTGTGCACATGAAAATCTAAAATGGGAAGAAAGAGGCAAGTGTTAGTAAAACTTTTGGAATATAATCATATTGAAAATAAATTTGAAGGGTGAAAAGTCAAAGTGAGGCTCGGGAAATCTTGATCATAGTCGTCATTGTGGTCTGGTTTGTTGATGTCATCAGTGTTGTTGTGCTGGAAGCCTGGCTTGCGGAAAAGATTCTTGAATGTGAACTGTGGTGCTGGTGGCTTGTCAGAGTCTGTATATTTCAAGTCGTTGGATAGACTGGGTCTCAAGATGGACTCTGGTGTTGTTTGTTGTGTGGAAGGTACATCAAGCTGCTTGGATGACTTCAGAAAATGGCAAAAGTCGTTGGTGGGCCTTTCTTTGGTCTGGATTTGTCTGCTTTTTTTTGGCAGTCTGTGTTTGAGTCTCCTGGTTGATGTATGGAAAATACTGTTGGATGTTGAAGCATTGGATTTTGAAGGTTAGGACTCTTGTGTCTGCATTGCTTGAGATTTTAGTGAAAATTTCTTAGTTGGTGGGGTCTGTATAAACTTGTCTATTGAATCAGTTGATTTGGAATTTTGCTTTACAACTGGAGTTGTCTGTGTGGATACATTTTTGGTGACCATGTTGTTCTGTAACTTCTTCGTGGTTGATGTGTCTTGAGGGTCGGCATTAGGCATTGCAGGAGTTGTAAGTATTGGTCTGCTACTTGGTGCATTCGATGTGTAGGCACTGTGGTATGGTGTTGTAGGAGTTGTATTGGTTGTGGGGGCATCGTCTTGGTCTTTCAACTGTAAAGTGGGAAAATAAATAAGAAAAACCATTAATTAATAAATGTTCGGCAGTGGATTTAGACGTGGTGACAATCTTGATATACTGGGTTGGCATGAACTGAGTAGTTAGGTATGTTCTGTGGTTGGATCAGTATTTTGTCCAGAGAGATAGATTGATTGACATTTGTATAAAAACCGAAAATAGTTGTGTATTAGATCTTGGAGGTTGACATACTACGAGAGGATTTGAGCTCCATGAGGAACAAAGCTAAGTGAAGTCTTTGGGAGCGAGGGGCTGAATAAAGATTCCACCCCTTCGAAGTAGTCTTGTTTTGGTCTGGTCGATAGCACAGCTGGGCTTATATTTCTTCAGGAAACATTGATCTGGTTAAGGGAGAAGTTTCTGGGATCCCGTCAATGGTAACGGGTGAAACCGTCAGTAAGTCTTGAGTGAGTTTTCTTCCCATGGGAAGGCTAACCACTTGATAATGGAGTGTGGAAGAAAGCGTCTTCATGGCTCTAAATCTAAGCAAAAAAAGTGTAATAATGACTGCTGATGTTTTCTAGCTTGCTCCAGTCATTTATGCCCCACTTAGTTGTCCATTGCGATATTTGTTTTGTGATACTCTCCACCTACGTCAATGTACCCTCTATCCTAGTACTGTATATAGCACTTCATTCAGATAAAATTATCCCTATTTCTCGATAAAGCGTCGCTAATGGATTTCTCAGTATTACGATCGTTTGCAAATACTTATAATGTTATTGTGTTATCTAGCTGATTTTCGTAATAATAATAATATGTTTTTAAAAATTTCCTTTTTTTCCAATTGGCAAGTCAATTACGATATGAATTCCCGGATTATTATTTCCAGCATGGAGGCAAATTGGGTTGCTCCTCTCCCACCTCTGATATCTAGCATCGCATAACAATCAGAAGGTGAGAATTGACATTTTGAAGAGACTTCAGATTCACTTTTTCCTGTGCCTTCTTTTAGTCTGTCGGATTTTCTGCGGGACAGTGGTAAGTTTATGGACTCGCAGTGCTGGGGTTCGTTTTCCTAGGGTGGACATGGCAGATGATCTGAAGCTGCTTTGCTCTAACAAAATAACTTACTTTACCTCACAAAAAGCTGTTCCAAACAATGGTAATCAACACTGTTGTTTCTTCGAGTATGCAATGTTTTGGGCTTTTTACTGGTGGCTTTTGAGCCAGCAACTTACTTGACAGCTGAAAGGTCTGGGAGTGAATTTTTAGTTTTTTCTTCATATACGGATATTGTGGTATTGTGGTATACTTCTTAGTTATGTGAAGGAACAGTTAGGCCTTATCCGACACGTTGTCGGAACTTCGTGATTTAGTTTACCACCACCATGCGGAGGCATTTTTCCGACTCTCAAATATTACATCTGCTCCTTGAATTTCGAGGTTCTAAGGCAGAGTTTGTAGTTCACCTATACAGGTCTATGTCTCCTAATGGTACATAGTAAGTCAACGGACTTACAACTCAAATTCAATATTTTGTTTTCTTTTACATCACTTTGTTAGAAGATTCTCAGGATCACCAGCTTCATTGATGACGAGCTGTTTCTATCAGTCCCTCAGTACATTGGTACTCAGAATAGATTCTGTCTGTATCCAAGGTTTCCACTGCTTAGTCGGTTCACCAACAGCATTGGTAATTATTGTATACTTTCGGGGGCTGAGGGAGCTTGGTTCCAAGTATTTCTGTACGTGTGATAACCTTAACTATGGGTTCAGGAGCTCTGCAGAACCTTGGGTCATAATTGATCGTTCAGTTCACATCTTCCCCACTATTATTCACCCAACCTGTAGGGTTTCCATCTCCCGCAGTTCATCGGGATTTGGAACTTAGTTCTAGGGTTATCTGAGTCTGGTTGATCTAGGGTAGTGAGAGTGTCGGGCTAGTTCTTCAGTTAGTTTATTTAGTTAGGCTAGTTTATTTTCACTTAGTTTATCTTGGTCCTCTTCACTATCTAGTCCTAGTTTAAAGCTTCTCTTAAAACTGAGTTTGTTAATTACAAATAATCAAAGTATACTCCTCAAAAAAGGATTTCTGAGATTATATGAACATATAAAAGCAGTGAATAACCCCAAAAACTACATCAGCCCAGCTGCTTAGAGAAATTATTAAAAAAATTATACGTAACAGACTACTAGCATACTTCGAAACTACCTGAAAATTACATGAACCTCAAAACGTATTTTGTACATCCAGACAAACAACAAATGATCTAATAAGACTTACAGAAGAATTAATCAATAGCTTCAGTTAGTAACACTACACTGTTCCATGTTTACTCGATGTCGAGAAAGCATCCAACAGAGTATGGCATGACGGCCTTAGATTCCAGGTGTTCAAAATGGGACTTTCGAAATAAATAATTAGCTGGTTGTCTAACTTTCTGGAAGATAGGAGCATCAGAGTCGATGTTAAAGGAAAATTTCACTCCCGAGGCAGGTGTTCCACAAGAATGGGTAATTAGCCCTAAATTATCATGTATGTAAGCATCATGCTCCTAAAAGGCTCAAATTCCACCTTCTTCTCACAGTTCGCAGATGATGTTGCCATCTAGAAAAGTACCTAAAACCCAACAACAGCAACATTTAACATACAACATTACTGAATGAAATAGAACAGTCTCTAACAATGAAGAATCAAAATAAGTTCGCATGAAACACAAGTAACTATGTTTACCAAGTCAATCAAAACAAGCAGAATTAAACCACAACTTTATCTAGACGGGACTCTCCTTCAAATAGCAACATCAGCAAAATTATTATGAATTATCTTCTATTCCAAATAACGTGGCAACAACACCTAAATAGTATTGAAACTAGAATTTGGCAAAGATAATATTATCTCGGGAGTCTGACAGGCAATTGCCAGGGTTTTGTTTGTTTGTTTGTTTTTGCATTTCGCGCAAAGCTATCACGAAGGCTATCTGCGCTAGCCGTTCCTAATTTAGCAGTGTAAGACGAGAGGGAAGACAGCTAGTCATCACCACCCACCGCCAACTCTTGGGCTACTCTTTTACCAACGAATAGCGGGATTGACCGTCACATTTAACGCCCCCACGGCTGAAAGGACGAGCATTTTTGGTGGGACGGGGACTCGAATAACAGGCCAAGCAATAACCGGGGAGCCTCAACCGAAAACATATTTAAAATATACAAAGCATACATAAGACCAAGTATAGAATATGCTTTTTCAGTTTGGATAAGTGTAGGAAAAACACATATCATTTAATTACAAAACAAAACAACACAAAATGACACACTAACTAAAGATTAACAAAGTTCCACGATCATCAGATATAACATTTCTGCCCAACTATTTGAAAACACTGTTCCTGTTTGACAGACTCGAAAGAACTCCTTCAATATTATATGAAAAACAAGGGCAAAAACAAACTGAAGAACAACCTAGACTGCTACATCACACACGATAAGTCTAATCCTAAGTATCTCTCTCTCTTAAAATACCATTAATAAGAAGCTTAAAAGGCCACATAATGCTAAGCAAATCGATTCTTTTATGTAGAAATAGCTCTATTTCAAAACGGTATTTATGTCAAAATAGAATTATATGTATGTATATACCTACACAATGTGGAACTGTATATTGCTCACAGGACTGAAATGCAATCATACATAAGTGAAGCGTAGTGAAAGTGTACAAATTAATTGTGCCCCAAACATGAACATGGCGTGAAAAGGATATATATATTACATTAAGATATTTGTGAAAATTGTCGATATATCAATATAATATGAGTAGTGTTTTAAAGTAAGAGGAAATTACCAAAGGACCAGGGAAAAGTACGAAGAAACAGCATGTGAAGGAAGTTGTCCGATGAGCACCTAACACACCTATAGGCTACAACCCTTTAAACACCGAACCAGCATATACAAAAACCTGATGCAGAAAACCGGTCATACATCTTGTTTATTTTGTAGTTTGTTTGGTCGAGTCAAGTTATGTATTCTTTGCAGAACATGGAAAACTGCTGTGACTGTAGAATGCATCAACTAACGTACAAACGCATAAACCAAGTAATAGCGGTTGGGAGGGAGAAATCTAAAAGGCACCTGACATTCCTAGGTCTCATTTCGAACCTAAAATCCGACCCAGTTAAGATTTCCCAGATCTCAATCCAGACATTTCGTTTCTGCTTTCACCTTTTGCTCACGGAAACGATCTCCAAGGACCAGGTAGCGACAACACAAGTACACTCAGACAGTAACAGAATCACACAATGAACAACTGTTCATAGAAGTAATAAGGAAAAACAAAAATGGAACGAACACTCAAGAACATTAAATACTATAGCATGCAGTAACAACAATATTAATATAAAAAATTTGAACACACAACATAAAAATACAATAATAATCGAGGGTGTCTCTAGAAACTACAAAGAATCACAAATAACATCTGAAATTCAAAAATGTAAATCAAATAACAAAATTAGGACAGTCAAAGAATTTGCTAGAGGGGGGAGTCTGGTCAAGGGAGCAGAACTAAAGGACGTAAACATACTACTACAAGAATGGCCAAAAAACACATCTGGATCCATCTGCCAGGAAGTAGACCCCAAGTCAAAGCTTTTGGGATTAGAGGCATCCACCACTTGATATATAATAGGTCGATCAGATCAAGGAGGCATTGACCAATCAAAACGTCAAATACACTAAAGTCGAAAGAATAATATCAGCAGTTACTAAAACACACATGAATCTAATAAAAGTCACAACTGGACACCAGAAAACAGACAAACACTTATACAGAACTGGAAAATAATGTGATATCAGCAATATACAGTTTAAGAGGCTAAAACTCTCGCAATAACAGTCACACAATGCTTCAACTGTTTAAGATTTGGTCATGTTGCCGCAGTGCCCTGATATGTAGGATGTGGAGAAAATCATAAGGTTGACTAATGTCCATACACTAACGAAAAACTAAATGTTGAAACTGCAATGAACCTAAGAG